ATTATTATTATTATTATTATTATTAGTATTATTATTATTATTCTTGTTGTTGTTGTTGTTGTTATCATCATCATCATCTCGTTATCTTAATAATGCATTTAAGATAATAAAAAAAGAATTGTTATTTTTTATATACAAAGAAACTAACTTTGAAAAAAAATTATGATATAAAGTTAGCATAAATATCAAAATGTTAAATTTTTTAAAGTTACTGTGGTTATGTTGCACCTCAATTTATATATGCAGTATTTGTTATAAAATACTCCCTCCGTCCACATTTAAAGTTCCCGCTTTGACTCGGTGTACAAATTTAGGTGGAATGAAAATTGTGTTGATTTTCCCCTGTACACCCCACTGGAGCCGTCTACCCCTGTACACCACTGACGCCGACACTTCTGCACTGCCGTCGCCGCCGCTTCTGCACCGCCGTCTCCGCCGCTTCTGCAACGCCGCCGCCGCCGCTTCTGCAACGCCGCCGCCGCCGCCGCCGCTTCTGCAACGCCGCCGCCGCCGCCGCTTCTGCACCGCTGCCTCCGCCGCTTCTGCACCGCCGTCGATGATGCTTTCGCATCCCCGCTGTCGAAAGCTCCGGGCATCGCAGCGCCCAGCCGTCGCAACCCTAGCATCCCTCTTGCCGTCACAAGCCCCCGCCTTGAAAGATCTATTTTTAGACTTCTCGTTAGGGAAGAAAATCAACATCCCACCATAGATCTGGAAAAAAATAAAAAAAATTGTTCCTCCAAATCTAGATCCGACGAAGATGCAACCAGATCTGAAAAAAAATTTCTTCTTTTAATTGACGAAAGAAGAAGGAAGAAAAACAGGAAAAAAATGAAGAAGAAATAAGAAAGAAGAAGACGGAAGGACAAAGAAGAAGAAGAAGAAAACAAGAAAAGAAGAAGAAGAAAAAAACAAGAACACGGAATTGAGAGGAAGAAAAGAAAGAAAAAGAAGGAAAGAAGAGGAAGAGTGGGGAGGGTGGCTGACGAGGTGGGAAGGAAGAAAAGAGGAAAAAGAAAAAGAAATGTAATGGACGAGGGTAGTTTTGTCTTTTAACCCGTAAAACTTACTAAAAAAGGAAATGAGAACATTATTTGTGGACGGACCGAAAAGGAAAGTGGGAACTTTAATTTTGGACGGAGGGAGTAATATATTTGCAATTATACTTTATATATTACAAGATTTTGTTTTAAATATCCGACATGTCAAATAATGTAATCAAACCTATTTTTTATTTCATGATTGACATTTTATTTTTATTGTAACTCCTATTTTTGAAATAAAGACATAGAACCTTTATTTTTGTAAATTTTTTTATGTTTAACTCTTATTTTAGTCTTTTTCTCTAAACTATTTTGATTTTCAAATTTTTTTCATAAATATTAGAAAAATGAAAAAAAATAAATTTTGAAATAAATAAAAATGAGAAAAAGTTGTGTAATAAAGAAAAAGGTGATGGGTCTTATATAAAGTTAGATTAATTTAAAACATTCTATATAACTATTTTATCTATAATTTTTTAATACCTTTAATATGACGTTCAATACTAAAATTCTCGTACTCCAATATAACACTCCTATGTGTTTGTTAGATGTTTTAAGAAATGTCTGGTAATTCTGGTTGCGTGGTTCCGGGGTATATAATTGACAAGACAAACTAACTTTTTGAAGAAATGTAAGTTTTATTTTAGAATGTTTACTAAATGAAAGAGGAAATTTAAATCTAAAAGAGCAAGGCTAGGAGTACACCAAAAGGTGTACCCCAAATGTACACTACTCTCTTCTCCACCACACATTTTTATTTGATTTTTATTTACTTATTTTTTTAATTTTTTTTGTCTTTTTTAGTGGACAAGGAAGGGGTGTGGGACATATGGGATACACCTTTGGTGTACCACCAGCATTTTTCAATATAAAATACAGGACAGCCAGCGTAAAGATTCCTGCATTGATATCTTCTATTTGAACAAATGCGAGATGTACCCCACCGCGGGATTTTAGACATGGATTCCAGGATTTGTACTCATCAGCCATTCTAAACACAACGAGTGGAAGGCATATTTTACGAGTAATAATATACTCGGAATCTAATATACTCTCTGCGTCCCGGTATATTTGTCCTGTTTGATTTTTTTGAGTTAAACTGGACAAACTTTAAGCTTCAATTAAATAAAAATCGTAATATATTTTAACATAAAAATGACTTGATTGGATTTATCGTATTGACAACTTTCAAAATTGTATTTCATTATGCTAATATACAATATAAATTGAGAGTAATTGGAGTTCAAAGTTTGTCTAGTTTGACTCGAAAAAGTTAAACTGGACAAATACACTGAAACGGAGGTAATATTCCCTATATGGCTATGTTCTAACATAAGTGTACCTCAAAGATACATCAAAGGTATACATTAACACTTAGATTGTTCACATTGACACAAAACATTGGTGTGTTAAAAGAATTTGTACTAACGTTTTGTGTCTTTGTAAACTATCACCCTAGCATTGCACTGACACAAAATGAAAGTGCAAGCTTGCGGTTTAAAATTTGGGGTACAGATAGCTTAATCATTCTAACATTATTGCACTTTGTAGTGTGATTTTAAAAAATTTGACTAAATAAAAGTAAAACATAGAGAAAGTATCAAAATATGAGGTTCATGTTCTTATTTCTTAAATAGCTAGGAGTTCGCACTCTAGTAATGTGGCAGTGTACATGGATATTTTACTATACTTTTCGGTAATGTACATGGTCATGATTGACTTTGTAAATGCATTTTAACTCCTATTTCGAGAGTAAAAATATAAAACTCTTATTTTGATATATTTTCAATGTTTTACTTTCACTTTAATCTTTTTTTCCCTTGATTTTACTATTTCTAAGTATCAAAATAGTAACAATGAATAATTGAAACCAAGGTTGGCCCTGGGTTAGGAATAAGGCCATCCACATTGGATGGAGGAGAAGTACCTCTCCCGAAGAGGTTGGTTCATTGGATGGAGAAGTGGAAGGAGAAGTACATCTCCTTGGCAGTTTCCAAGACAAGCAGGGAGGGGGAGTCCTCCGCGGAGAAGAAGAGAAAGAGAAAAAGACTGGCCATTCACTCCAAGCCATGTGACAACCCTTTCAATTTTTAATTATATAAATGGGTTGAGTTTAATTTTGTAAATAAGAAATAATAAAATTTTAATAATCCTTTTGATGTAAGAAATAAGAAGAAGTAAAGGAGAAATTGTGTGTTGGGAGCCAAAAAGATGATGTGGAGGAGAGAAACGTGAGTAGTCCTCCCTTTACTTCTACTTCTAAGAGGCTGCCGCCTACGACCCAATTCATAAGGGTGTCTCCAATTATTTTTCTCTAATACTACTAGTAATATATTATAGTAAAAGATAATTAATTTAGGGGTTTAAGTCATCAATTTTAAGTGAAAATATGAACTACATAATATGACACACTCAATCATTTTAATACATCAAGTGATATTTCTTTTTTAAATTACTTGAATATTTTGTTTATACTGTACGACTAAAAAACATTTATGAAGAGAAGTTTTTACAAATTTACCTTTATATAAGAATGTTTTCTCTAAATAATTGACAGAAGCTTGATAATAAATCAAGATAATAAGAAACTTCTCATGACAATATCACCATTTGATCATTTTTATCCAAATAAATGAGAGACCTTATAACAAACCAAGAGATACTACGCATTATAGACAATAGACCTCAAAGAGAAACAAATCACCTTTTTCCTATCTTTTCAAAAATCAAGTAATGGTGATAATAGTAATAGAAAATAAATAAATTTTTTTCTTATGACACATGCTTTTTAAATTTTATCTTCTGTTATCATCTTAAATATTTTAAAATTGTCTTGTTTAAGATTATATTTTAAAAATAATTACTCCCTCCGTCCATAAATAGATTACAATTTTTTTTTCTCTCCTCTCGATAACTTTTGTTTGTTTACGCAATTTCATTAAGTATTTGATAAAATAAAATATTCTTGTCACCTCTTGTTTTGTAGAACTTTTGACGTAGTTTTTTAATATGTAATTTTTATATCTTATTGATATACCAATTTGTAAATAAAATGGTTTCAAAAAGTAGAAAATTTTACTCCGTAACCCGCAATTTGTAATAAGATTGGGGACGGAGGGAGTATAAGAGAAGCCATTTTTTTAATTGGCCTAAGGCCCATATAGTATAGTTTTATGAACGTGTAATTGAAAGTTTACAAAGTATTTGACATAGAGAAAGAACATGACAAAGTATATATACTCTATCGTTCCCAAAAGATCTAACCATTATTTTTCATATTTTTCACCTATCCTAAATTAAGTTATATTTTATTGTTTTTTCTTCGTCCCAAATTAAGTTATTTATTTAATATTCACAAGATCAAATTTCATTTTTTTAGTCATTTGATAAAACAATATAGTGATGTCACCATCAATTATGTAAATCTTTTAATGAGATTTTTAGAATTGTAACTTTTACTTTTAAATTTTATATCATTTTTCATATAAAATGATGTAAAAATAACTTCAATCAAATATCAAAAACCAAAACAAGCAATTTGAATTGGGACGGGGGAGTAATTGATATATAAGAGCAATTTTTCTCCAAGTTGTTCTCTAGCTATACTTTAGATGCTACCCGTTGTTCTATTAGTATCGTACTCAAGTTTTCTAAAAGTTTTCTTGTGAAGAAGACACTCTAGAACCATTCTTCTTTCCACATGTACGGTGTTCCATTGTTTTTTTCTTGTTGTGTAGAGATTTTGTTATTTAAATAGAATGTGTAACTTTACACGGGAAAATGAATTTGAGAGATGAAGAACTAAAAAAACAAAATAAAAACATAAAATGTGAGGCTTATCAATTCTTCATCCAATCTCACTTCCCTTTATTGCAAACGAAACTTAACAGCTATTGAATAAAATTAGAATGTGATATAATACTTACATTGTCCTCCACGTCATTCAGCCATATTATTATCATTATTATTCTTATATTGTGTTCTGTGGTGACTATAACCCTCTCAAACTGTGTTGAAAGAGGAACAATACACTAGCCATGGATACTGATAAATTTACAATAATTAAGGTACAGTTCATACACAAAATAATCATGATGATCTTGTGGTTGGATGGCTTACATGCTCATTGCTCTGGAAGATACTTCTGCTTCCCTGTCCTGCACCTCCATTTCCACTGTTTCCTCCTGGAGAATATATTTATATTCAAGCACGCAGTGCTCATCAATGGTTCAACTCAAATATGTTCCAAATTTTGTTTTTTTAAAGAAAATTAACCAGCACATATTATACTGCAGCATAGTTTACCGTTTCGTTTTTTAAGTCAGTCTTAGCTAGGTATGCCTCCAAAGCACCATCTCCACGAAGTATTTTACCACCATGCCCAGGTGCTGTTGCAGAGCCTACAGAATCTTTATCAACCACAACAGCCTCTACTCTCTGCTCTCCTGCCTCATGAGCATCAGGGATCTACAGGTGTAATAATTCAATATAATGATAAGAAATCGGTAGACCTGCCTCACTTGAGCTTGTTCTCTTCAACTTATTCTTATTACTTACTACGTATTACTTATTCTTATTGGAATCAGATCAGACTAGAGAAATAATTGCATATATAACTACTATCTGATCGGATCAAACCAGATTAGAACTTATTCTAATCAGATCAGAACCAATCAGATCAAGTGAAGAGAACAAGCCCTTAGTGTGCTAAAAAAGCACCGTGGTGGGGATTGCTTCTTTTGGATATGTACGTACTCTTCAACCCGACATACCTCATACATAGCATCAGTTAATATACTTTCAAGTATGGCTCTTAGACCCCTAGCACCAGTGTTTTTCAACATTGCTTTCCGCGCGATCCCTCTCAATGCTTCATTTGTAAAATGTAGCTTCACCTAAACAAAAGAATTCACAAGTGAATCTCTAACGCTAAAATGTTTAGAATTCAACAGCGGGTTAATATTCTAGAATGAATAGTTTAATATTCTACCAGAGTAAATATCAAAATATTTTGGGTAGTAGATTCTACATTTTGTATTATCTAGGGGCATCTAAATGAATACTCTCTCTGTCCCTAATTAATCTTCCTCGTTGAGTTTTCATGGAGTTTAAGAAACGTTTTGAAAAGTGAAAAAGGAGTTATTACAATTTGATGAGAGGTGAGAATTTTTTTAGGCACATAGTTCTTTACTTTTAAGGATTGAGAATATTATTTTGGGATGTCCAAAAAAAGAAGATTATTTAAGGACAGATGCAGTATCTATATTCTATAGTATATAAGGTATTTATTAATAAAAAAAGAGGAAAATCAAAACCTAGGGAATTGTCAAACAAAGAGTCCAAATACTAAGTGTGTGGAGGTGGCCCAATTTGAAGGGGTAAGTTTGTCTTGATGCCAATTAAGTCCCTCACACCGTTGGTGTCTTCAATATTGTACTAGAGTCCTTATCTTATTAATTGTAAGTGTTTTCCTTGGAGATTGGAGATTTCCTTTTCGAAATGCTTATCCAATGCCACCTTTAGACTTGAGTTTGTTTGTAAACACACGAGATTGCAAGTTGAACATTGGCACAGTATATGAGAATGATTCGATATATATATGAGATGATGAGGATGAGGATGCGGTGCAACAAATTGGGGAGAACAGTCTGTTTCCAGATAAAAGAAACTCGGTGAGTTAAAACACTTTTTCAGTATAGAGACCAAACACACAAGATGGACTATTCATGTGCCAACAGAAATATGCACATCTCTTGGGGAAATTTGAATGTTGAACTGCAAACCTCTATCACCTTTATGGAAGTAAACGTGAAACTTCATGCCACCACAGAGAAAAAAGTTACATGAAGACGTGAGTTTGTTTATCCTGACACGACCCAACATAACATACCCAGTTGGACTGTTGGAGTTGTGAGCTGCTAAACGCAAAATCTGACAAAGCCTCAAGTACAAGAAGCAGGATAATGATGTACGGCAAGACTACAATGGACTATGGTCTCATATATAAGAAAAGCAGTGCATAACATCTTAAAGGGTTACTTTGATGCTGACTATGCTGGAGAATCTCTTGGTGCAGTAAAATGCAGCCAATAGTGTCCTTATGAAATACAGAAGTCGAGAATAGAGATGCAGCAATGGCAGCACATGAATGCTAGTGGCTAATACTATCATTACATTCAAGAGAAGGTACTTCAATAAGATATGAATGGACAACAAGACAGTTGATACGTTTGCAGACATAATTATGTTATGTTCCGGGTGAAACAATTTGTAGCTATATTTAGAGTCAAACATATCATAATGTTTTACATGAGTGTTAAACACTTATGCATTGCTGCATTTTCTTCCCATAACTTCATAGATTGCTGCATTTTCCTTTTTGTTTGTCTCAAAATAAAATTTTCATTCCTTTTAAAAAGAACATTGAATGGTTCACATTATTTATCTAGTCTACATAAATTTCAACCACACAATTTAACATTTTCTTATAGTCCTTGAAAAAGTAAATGAGAAGCTTAAAGTATTAATTTTGTTTTCTAACAGAGGGGGGGATTAAAGATTAAATGATGGGCAGTCAATCCACCACCATTATATTCTTCAAAGAGGTGAGGTGGCACTACTTACCTTGTTCATACTGAATAATTTTCTGTACTGCTTGCATAGAGCATTATTGGGTTCTGTAAGGACCTGAAAAAAAAAATCACTGTTATATCCTCTTCCACAATTAAGAACGAAATAAAACCACCAGAATATTCAAACAAGGACCAGTAAAAAGAATGCAAGAGGAAGAAAACAAAAGGTTGCAAACAACATTTCATTTGTCATCGGGCTACTCATCTGTTTGTGATGCAACACAACTTGTAGAATTGAAGGCATTTAATTAAAAAAGCAATGCAAACAGTTATTATTATTATACTGTTTTTATTATTACTATTACTATTATTATTATTATTATTATTGAAACCATGCAAACTAAGAGCCAATATAGCAGCTTTATTTTCCGGTGCAATGTCATAACTCATAATGTTTTGTGTATGGCATATAAAGGTAATTTTCGTAGGCTTAAATGGATAGAAATAAGACAGAAGAGAAAGAATTGTATGTGGTTGTAAAAGGATAAGAATTTCCTTCAATTAAATGTGGTGCAAAGAAAAAGATATAAATAGAAAACAGAGAATAACAATGCTTCAACTCTCCTTCTATTCGAACACGAGGAAAGAAGGTAGAAATATAGAGCCTAAGTGGGGTCTAAGCAGGATCGTACAAGCATAGATGGGATTAGGCAGTCACTTCACAAAAAATAAATGTAGGCTGCCAATGGGAGCCTAACAACAACAAAAACAAAGCAGCAGCAGCAACAACAAACACTTCATAGAGAGTAAGAAGCCAGGAAGTTCATTTATATAATCCATTATGTGTCTGAAACTAAAACATTGTCAATGATGACTCTTTTAGCTCCATTAGCAATGGATGGACGGGAACCTAGCAACCAAGAGTGAGTTTTTAGAACAAAGCTCTTTGGAGCTAAATCTTAATCCCTCACAATATGAGTTGAGCAACTACCGAGAGTCAAGAATTTCATTCTTTACCAGAAAAAAAAAACAAACAAAAAAACCCTTGATTTTCACATAGACACTTTACTCAAAAGATGTGCAAATTTTGCACATCGATTGTTGGACAAAAAGGGGTGGAGGTTTAAAGGGGGTGGGTTATATTATTTGAACCTGGGAAGCTTGCTTTTTAACTAAAAACCAGCCCATAGGGCCTGTCATTAGCATTTCCCAAACACACACACACACATATATATAATACACACACACACACACACACACACACACACACACACACACACACATATATAATACATACACACACACACACATATATATATAGACACACACGTTATAGTGAGGCAAATAGTGAACATGTCATAATAGTGAAAACAAAAACACTCTTGAGCAGCATTTAGATATTATCCAGTGAGCAATGAGGTGATGTTTTTTTGTTTTTTTTAGCAATGAGGTGATGTTTGCTGTGGAATATCTACTAAAACATATTCCACTTCAATGCAGCGAAAGCAAAAAAAATAATTTTACCTGAACAAGTTGATCTTCAGTTAGTGCCGACAAACTAACTAAAATAGGAAATCGTCCAATAAACTCTGGTATGAGGCCATATGCAATCAAATCACTGCTCTCCACCTAAAATTATGAATTTTGGGTTATTCAGGATCACACACAAAACTAGATTTGCTTAAAGGTCATTTAAAATTTGAACTCATATTTCCTAGTCTCCTGCAGGTCGTTGTTCTTACAGATTCAAGCAAAGAAGATGTCACAGAAGCATTAGTTACTCCGACAGTTCTCATGTTAGCACGTACTGGAGCACCAAACCCAATTGAAGAATCTTTCCGTCTGCCAAAGAATTCATAAGGTAAATCAGTATTATCAGATTTTAAAGAACAATTAATATCCTTTTCTTGTCAAGGATGGTGAATATAAAACACACCTCTCTGAAATGGTTTTTTCCAAATCAATGAATGCTCCACCACATATAAAAAGGATGTCTTTTGTATCTATCTGTAACGTAACAAGTGCATATCAAATGTATAAAAATACAAAAGATGAAATAAAGTAATAAAAAAAGACAAGTCTTGATAGGTAAAATCGGATCAAAGCAAAACAGAAGAATATTTTTGTTGTTAACTACACTGGATTCTTTGTGTTCTCTAATATGAATAGAAAACAAACCAACACAACTGTTAATATTAGAATACAAGAAACTACTCGCCTGTTTTTAGGGAAAACTACCCATAACTATTTTTTTAATTAAATATGAAAGGCACACTAACCTACTCCATATAATAACCGACTCCATACTGGCCCGAACATTGACTCATTACCCATTCAGTTATAAGTGAACAAACCCGATTAAATCTAACAATCACGTCCTTAATCATCGTCTCTTCAAACCTCATCACCATCTTGAATCAAATTTGCAATGTCTTTTTTTAACCCATTTTTGATTTAAGTTCACAAAATGCCTGAGCTTGTTGCACTTGAAACACCTAATGTGACTCTTATCCCATTGAAAACAACCAGTGTCTTAACCTTTCCCAGACCCCCGACCTCTACCTTGGCCACGCCCAAAGTCTTCTCAGTTTGAGCTCCCGCAACAACAATGCTCACATTTTTGCTCATTAACCCTCTCTTTTTCAACACCTTTTTACATCACCTTTAGTGAATAGTAGTTTACCATGCATATCTCCTTCCTCAGTGGGCTTTTTGATGTGTACCGCGAAGGCTTTCAATCTTCCAATGGTTTCTTGAAATGTCATTGTGTTAAGGCCGGCAAACTGTTCAAATGCAGCAACAATATGAATGAAATTTTCTGGCACATAAGCCAAAAGCTTTCGAACCAATCTTGTCTTCAAATACAGACCAAAGCTGCTTGCTTGTGATGCAAGTTGGCGAATCAACCAGCAAAATCATCAAGTGAGACTCAAAATCTGATTTTGGTGTCTGTAATGGCGGCTCCTTAACTCTGTCAACACCAACAAAGCGAGTCTTCAAAGCATCCAAAATTTCTTTAGCTTCGGTAAGCTGATCAACTTGTAACACGATCTCTTTAAACAAAGCTTGAAACAGATATGCTATCGCCATATTGTTCTTCTTTGGATCGGCTTCTATTCCTCGTTTGATTACCTCCCAATTTCCATTGACATTGAAAATTGATTGAAAATTGCTTTAATCTTCACTGCCCAAATAGTGTAGTTTAAAGCGGATAGAATTGGAACCTGAAACGATATTGAACTATTCTCCCTTGCAATCACAATCTGTCTGTTTGGGTTGTCTCCCATTACACGACTTTTATTCCTTCAACAATTTTCACAAGATTATTAGACTTCAATTCCTTCCCAAGTCGTAAGCCACCTGCAATCGACCATCAACCAGAAAACAAGCCCCCCGCTTTTCCGTCTTCCAAGCCGCTAAACAAAAGCTACCCCACTGATTTGTCTTTCCGGCATTGTTTTGTTGTAATACTTCTGCCAAAAAGAACTATCCACTTGCTGTTCTTGTCCTAGGCGAGGAAGAAATCCAGTCAAAGATTCCTCATCTGTTGTCGAGAAGTCGCTGATGTTCTGTTTTACCATCTGGTTGAGCCCTTCTGCTGCTGATCGCACACCCCCTGATCACAAACCGGACCTGCTCCTTTCGAATGCTAGGTCCTGATTGGATTGTTGCTCCCATACCAATTGTGAGATAAAATCGGATCAAAGCAAAACAGAATAATACTATTTGTTGGTAACTACACTGGATTCTTTGTGTTCTTTAATACGAGTATAAATAGAGAACAAACCCACACAAGTGTTGATATTAGAAACTACCCACTTGTTTTTTAGGAAATGTACCTATAACTATGTTTTTAATTAAATATGAAAGACACACTAACCGACTACATATAATAACTGACTCCATACCAACTCTGACTCAAACATTGACCCATTATCCATTCAGCTATATGTGAACAACCACAATTAAATCTAACAAATCTTGAAGTTAAAGCAGATAATATATAGAAACTAACTAAAAATAAGATTTATTACAAGCTGAATTGGCACAACAATATGGTGATGTAATATTTTGATCTTGAGACCTGAGAGAGAAGATTGCTTCAGCCTACTATTAATTAACTTTAACAAATTATATATGGGTAGAACAAGAAAGTATAATAATTAGAAATAGGTGATTGGGGAAAGTAGAGACATTGAGATATTCTGTATAAGAGTAGAAAAGCACCCAAAGTCTTATACATGTGCCAAAAGGGTAAACATCTATCTGGGTTGAGTATAGTGCATGAAAAGATATTATTTTGAAAAGAGACATTTCAGATCATCTTTACCTGAATATGCTCACCGCGAGGATGTTTCCTTGCCCCTTTTTCAGGAACATTCACAATCTGCAAAAGAAACAGTCATTTGATATTCATATCGGCTATCAGATTTTTCATTTCAGGAGACTGGACTTGACTATATATATTTTAACCAACATGTATATGATACATTAATATAAAAACAAGAACGCAAAAATTCATAACATGAATGTTTTGATAGACATATAAATAGCATATAAAATAACAAAGTAGTAACATAAACAATATCCTCTGTAATGTGAAATCAACTAATGGAGTATTTCCGTCCATGGATTGATGGATGCACATGCAAAATGATCACCTCTAGGCTATATGTAGGCAAGTTAAAAACTTGAAGGCAAATTTTAGTTGTGTAGTAGTTGAGAAAGTGCTACTATGTGGCAAATGGAATCCCGCGAGAGTAGGATCTCAGGAGGGTGGGTTATGTACGCAGACCTTACCCCTACTTTAGAATAGAGAGGTTGTTTCCAAGAGGCCCACAACATGAGTAACACAGGAAGCACAGAGCATGAAAAAAGAAGCACAGAGCATGCTAAGGGTAAAGAAAGCAAAAACGCAATGAAACAAAAAGCACCAAGCATAGAAAGAACATAACTGCATAAACTACCACCAAGCCCAAACGCCTACCCAACTATCCTAGTCTTAACTCTTTAGACGCTCCTATCTAAGGTCATATCCGCGATAAGTGCAAGAAGTCTAAGGTCATGTCTACTAACCTCTTCCAATTCTTCCTAGGTCTACCCTTTCCACATTCCCGCCCACCGCTGTAAGCCTCTCACATCTCCGCACCGGGCTTCACCGCTTCACATGCTCAAACCACCTTAACCTAGCTTCCTGCCCCCTTATCATCTGCAGATCCTAGTGGAAAAGAATGAAAAGAAAATTAAAAACAAAAGGATACTTACAGTTCCTTCGAGCATTTTCAGTAATGCCTGCTGAACTCCTTCCCCAGACACATCTCGGCTAATATTCAAACTCTCAGCCTTCAAATTAAAAGAAGAAAAGGAGACAAAAAATAGGATACATCAGAACTCATAACATAACATATGAAAAAGTTAAGGCGTGGGAGGTGCACCTTCTTGGTTATCTTATCAACTTCATCAATGTATACTATCCCTTGTTGTGCTGCTTCTACATTAAAATCAGCAACCTTCATGCAAGATTTGAAAGTTCAAATAATTGTTTCACTGATAAGTATCGAAAAAGATATGAGAGCAGGTATGCCAAAAATGCAAAAGAAGCATAAAATAGTTCTGCATCCACATACCAGCAAAAGTGTTGTGATGGGATTATGATATTACAACACAACAACATCATCAACATGGTTGTACTCCATATTAAAGAGGGACAATAACAAGAACATAAGCATATTTGAGCATTTAAAGTCAATAATATGATCTGAAATTGATCCCCTGGGAGGATGCAAGTGGTTGTAATTAACTTTTCCTAGAGCATAGTGGTTAGAAGAAAACTGAATGGACAAATTCCGGCAAAGAACATTTTGTCAGGCTTCTATCTTTCAAGGAATTAAAATTGAAATACTGTAGCAGCCATGAATTAATGATCCAATTGCTGAAACCAATACGAAGCAAATTGAATATCAGCCAATCAGCAATATAATTAATTAAATATTTCAGATTTGTTATTTGACTTCATTCAAATGACATTTTCTTCTAAAGATCATAAAATGTTAGTATGAAAATCAGTATAATATGGATGTTAAAGAAGCAAAGTTTCATGATTCACGTGTCATGAAAAAGCTTAATATCCCCATCACTATAGCCAACAAAACCCAGGACAAATATTTCATGATACAGCTTAGACCAAAAATTGTGAGGTTCCAGAAGAACGAAGTACAATGTCATTGCAAGATGCCAACTATACGCAAACAAAATTCAAATACTAATAGTTATTGATCAAATCCCCATGTCAAAAAAAGTAGATTATCACAAAATTTATGGAATGCTGCACAGAAACAATTAACTGAATACTCAACAGCAAAGTGTATTAAACAATAAACATACTTTAAAATGGGCAGAAGTTATACCGTAAGCAATTTGTACAATATTGATTCAACATCTTCACCAACATAGCCAGCCTGCAAAAGAGAATGGCGTGCACTTAGAATTTAATACAAGCCTGAAGCAACAGCTAAAATATAAGAACTTAATTAACTAAGGAAGAAAAGAAAATGAAATATGCACCATAGTAATCATTAATATACTTTACTCACATGTGAACTAGTATTAGCCTATTAGGACATGTGGGTTATACCCACATGTAGAAGTTATTAAATGGTGATGGTCTAATTTTATGAGACTCATTAAAACAACAACCAATGTAGTGAAATCTCATATTTTGGG